TTACCTTCACAGGGAATTTAAGCTGGTTAAATAATTCTGTCACCAGGAGCGTGTGACTGAGGGTCTTGCGAGTTTTCATGATACGGACAATGGCTGCGTCAATCTACAACGGCAAAGAACAATCGTTTACTCAACCACTGAATCCTTTCATAGTGCAATTCTGAAGCATGAATGGGCTCAGCCAGAGTGGTATATACCTCAATATACCGTAGCTAAACCGGAAGTGGACTATACAATGCGGGACCCACAAGAACTTCAATTGACACCAGGTTCAAGCCCTTCACCCATTATTATTATTATTAATATTATCATTATAAAACAAGATTAACAAAGAAAAACTATCTACAGGTCACCTGGTATTGTCGATCCTGGAACACTCGCTCTGTTGTGTTAATATTCTCCTCTTGCTAAAGAACCAAAAAGAAAAAAAATTCCTGTTAGAAAACACGGTACCTACCCTAATGAACCCAGTTCTGTAATTCATTTATGACAGTGTGACGCATCGGAATCAAAAGGACGAAAAGAGCCGCAATTGAAATTTTGGAACTTTTTTAAACAGCGGTCTCATGGAGGCTGGTCTGCCCAGAAATCTTTTCAGTTCTCTTTTCTTCTCTCTGGTAATGAGATCAGAGAACAGGCACGAGCAAAATGAGGGCACGAACGAAACGAGAAACGCAAATGATACAACAAACGCGAACACAAGGGCATGAACTTAAGAAAAGGAACATTAATGTGGACAGACCCATCTAAAACCAAGAGTTGGCACCAATTCGAGTGACAATTTTGGTCCTGCTCAATTTGTTTGTTGCGCAACAGAAGCTACTCTTTTCGGTAGGTGATTCTCTCTTCCCAACCAAAGTCTGTCGTAAAAGTAAACAGATACCACCAAAAAATAATCAAACGAGTAACTAAATATAACATGAGAGGGCGTCGCGCGAACTCAAGAAGCTTTCGTGGAGCGTGACATCGGTTTCTTTTCTCTCGCGCGAATGACCGAGCGGAAGAAGAGGCGCAACTCTCGGCCTGTCTTACCGTCTCTTTGAGTTGTATTTGATTAATTTTGATTCGGCAAAGTTTGTGCTTGAACTCGCTGTTGAAGAAGAACGTATCGCCATCATCGACATCACGGCCCTTAAAAATAAAGAGAAACGAAGTAAGAACCACTAGCAAAATGAAGAACGAATTCAAGATGTCACCAGGAAAGTTCGGATTTTTCTTAACGCCCAGTGTGCAGGATAAACCCTTCCACCCCTTAAGAGTGACTAGCATCTAATTTCTCCTTACAATATCACCCCTGAATCACACATTAAGGTCATGAGAATAAAGGAAATGATCACCAAATGAAGAAGCTCTTGAACCCTTTGACCCTTAAGAGTGACTAGCATCTAATTTCTCCTTTAACAAAGTTGCAGAGTGTTCTTTTGTCATAACAACCAAGTCTCTTCACTCTTTGACCCCTAAGGGTGACTGGCATCTAATTTCTCCTTACAATATCACCCCTGAATCTAAGATCACAGTCACGAGAATAAAGGAAACGATCACCACCTAAACAAGCTCTTGATTGTTAAACAAATTCTCCTTGTCAGCACCATAGGAAACGTATAGAGAGCAGTATGGAGAATATGCATATTGATGTTAGAGCGGAAAGAGTAAAGAGGTAAACTCACAACCTTTCGTGATATTAGGAAAACTCGAGAAAAGCTTGTAAACAGCTAATTCAACGCGCAAGTTTTCTCCGCATATCCCGAGTTATTACGCATTGCAATCCCAGCCTCCTTTGGACCCTTCAGCAAAACTTGCTCTAAAATTATGCTCTAAGTGCAAGTGTACCTTGGGTTTCTTGACTAGAACACGCGCTTTGCCACAAGCAAGGGATTGTAGCGTCCGTCTTAGTTCACCTTCCTCTGTTAAAAAAAGGGAAAAGAAGGGAAGAGGAGAGGGGTTAGTAGAAGAGAACCCTGAAAGTATCCTGGCTTTCCCCTTATAGACGAAACTTTACAGGATCTCTCAAAAGACAAACAAGAAAGCCAATTCTCTTAAAACAAAGTTAGTGTAAATTTTTGTGAGCTTTTGCCTTATATGCTTGTACAACACCCAGAAAATCCTTCACTCTGATAAATCAACCATATCCTAAACTTCCTCTTCAAAACGCAGAGAGAGACGTGGGGGAATGGGTGCGAGGAGTTAGGCTTGTCGCCTACGGAGGATGATTTCACAAGCGCGATACCAGGCTCTCGTTTGGGCTAAAATCAAAAACAGACAAAATAAGAAACGAAAATGGAGGAAAGATGGTAAGCGAGTTGAAGGGGCAGAGCACATAAAGAAATAACTGATTAAAAACTTTTCCCGCGAAGAACAAATCTATGATCTGCAGTTCCTTTAAAAATGAGAAATTTCAAACATGTATCAAGATAGAAAATCGGGATTGTAATGACAAATTGTCATCATAAATAATTCTAGGGAGGTAACGTATGGAAATTTCGTAACAGTTTCTGATTGTTTCTACAATTTTCCTGCATTAGGGTCTCACCTATTCCTGTGGCTTGTTTGATCTCGTCAAAGCCAAAAGTCTCTCCTATGTTGAACATCAACAACACCAAAGTTTGAAACAACGACACCTGAAGTTCTTTCTTCTCCTGTTGGAAAGGAAACAACATTCATCTTCAGGCTGATAGAACTGTCCTCATAACGGTTAGAATAATGTATTCACCTATGTAAAGCGATGCAAACAAAATGTCCCTTCGCCCCCCAAACACAAACACGCACATATCACGCACGCACGCACGCACGCATCGAAAAGGGAGCTCGTCCTAAAATTCCGTGATCCATTCCTCTTAAAGGCAACATAGTCTAAGCCAAAATCTAGGAAACAAAAACTGAAAGAGCTCTTCTTTCAAAAGCCCTTGGAAGGGCGAGTTAGGGGGGAATCCACTGGAATGAAATAACTCACATCTGCCGTAGGACCAAAGTCGGCCTTAACAACACAATGTCCTAACGTGTTCTGCCACTGAAGTTTTCTTCCGCCATGTTTTCCAATGTAGAACTTCTTAAACGCCTCTTGGTATTCAACCATCTGGAAGTCATCATCAAAAAGTTAATCAAAGGAATCTAATGGCCAATAATTAAAGTATCATCAAGTTGGAGGTAAAATTATTTTGCATCCTATCCACATCATAAGAAAGCGTTCATTACAAGATTATACTCCTTTATGTAATGTAACGCACTTTTGAATATGTACATCATTTTTAGCACCATATGGATGTTTTTATCGAATGTAAATTTATTGTTGGTATGGTACAAAAATACAAGTGAGTTTAATTTCCTACATTGACTCCCAAAGATAACTTTTCATCAATCCTTAAGAGTGACTGGCTTCTAAGTTCTCATTACATTATCCTCTTTGAATCAACAAGGAAAAGGTCATGAGAATGAAAAAAATGATCATCAATTGGGCGCGCAATAAATAAACAACTTGGTTCCCCACTTTAAAGGTGATGTGGGACTGATGGATCATTTGTCTCTCATATTCTTTCATAGTTTTGATTGAATGTTCACAGGACTTTACGTCGTTAAGTATTTTTCTGGACTCAAACTTGCGGATAACAAATGAACAACCGTGATGACCACTAAACATTGAAGGTGAAATCGTATACTATGAAAGGTGTTGTTACCTCTGATGGCAGATGCACCTCCATTGGAGTGTAGGTTGGCCAGTAACCCATGGTAAGAATGCTGACTACCATGTCTACACTACCTGGGAGATCCTGGTGCTGCAGATACTGTGAACAATAAGCAATGTAGTCAATAGGCATCTCACTAATTTAAAAACGTCGAAGTATACACAGTGACATACAGAATCACCGATTCATTACAGATGCTCCGTCACTGTTGAGGTATCTTCAGTTGCATTTTCCAATTTTACAGATTTGAGCTCAGGAAAAAAAAAACAGATACGGAAAACCAACGTATCCTCCATGCCTGTAAATTGTTCACTTAGCCATTATTTAGTGAGAAACTTGGCCCAGATCTCCCATTGAACGCTACACAGCGAGGGAATGGGGCTCAAATCCAAAGAGAGAAGAAGCACTACGACAGATTGGTAAAGGCGGCGACTCCATCGACGAACAAACCAACAAAAGCCTACCAAGTAATCGTTCCCCACATAAAGGAACTCACAGAGAGATTCCGAAATAAATAATACCGAATAACAGGAGGTCTGAGCCTGCTTTAAACCTAACAACACAATATACTGCATGAAACTCACAGTCAAACCAAAAGGGTTCATTTCACGAAGGCGTAGAGTGCAGTAGGGTAAAGAACTTTTCCAAACTATGAATGTCACATTTCGCCCGACATGACAGAGAACGATCGGACGATTTTGTTTGGAAAATTACTCGATGTCGCTTTTGCTGCTCTATTTTAATTCACCTGTTTAAAATGAACCAGCACATCCTTGGAAAGCTCCATGTCTTTGAACATGCCTTCAAGCTTGCTTGTAAAAGCTGCGCCACATTCTTGTTTCAATTTAGACAGCATTGATTTTTCTGCATCCACAGACGCACTCTTGCCAACCAATAGTCTCTTTGCCAGGTCTTTCTTGTAAAATGCTTCAAACACATCTTTACCTGAGGACAACAACAACAACAAGGCTTCAAAACAATTGGTCCGCAACGCGTGCATAGTCAGGGACACGATGATCGGTGGGTGTCACCACGTAGTTATCAATCCCACATAATGCTTTCGTAAATACGTACCATGGATAAATCTGAAGAGCACCATTATTCTGTCTAAAAGTTTTTCAAGTTCCTCTTCAGTTGCTTCCTGTACAAACAGTTTCAGACAAAAATTAATTTTTCAGCCTCCATTTATGCACACCATCAACTGTAACACCCTAACATCAGCGTGTTTATTCCTCATTCTGTCCTCTATATACTTCCTAAGGTTCTGCCAAGGAGAATTCGTTTAACAGTCAAGAGCTCCCCTAGTTGGTGATCATTTCCTAAATTCTCGCGACCTTAATGTATGATTCAGGGTTGATATTGTAAGGAGAAATTAGATGCTAGTTACTCTTAAGGGTCAAATTGTTAATAAATAAAAGCATATGTACGTTCTACTCTTTGTTTTTATTTACCTTGTTTCCTGCTCTTAGCTTGGAATCAACAAATTTTGCTATAGAAGGAAAAGAAAGAAAATAAGAATTTACAGCACAATACCGCAATGGACACCGCAATGAACCCTCCACTCCATGCCTCATGCAACGTATCTTTGGTAACCCTGCGCTTCGTATTTCTTGGCGAAAACATCGGCCGCAATGTTGAAGTTTAACAAATTTCTACCCAAGAGGAGGAGGACATGGACACAAGTAGAGAAGGGGTGAGGGCACTACCGTGCCCTCCCCCTTTTCACAATCTCACAGTTTGCATTGTATGCTCCAAGGAGCCGGCTATAAAACAATCAGGTCCAAGACAGAAATAACCAATTGTACTGCTTCGTGTTTCATTTACCTATTAGTTCCGCAGGTTTGTTCGGTCTCTTGTTAATAAATGCTTCAAAAGCATCCTACAATGACAGACAAAAACAACATAGTCAATCTTAAATATTACGCAAATTTTACACAAGAGTATACAGGATTGACAATTATCCCGAGCTTAAATGTGATCTTGAGCACTTTTAATTTTAGCCTTATTTAGTCCACGTTAGAGATTACAACTCTTTAAATTAAACAGTAATTTCAAAGAAACGCAACAAAAAGCTGTGCACAGCCTTCCATACGTTGACTGCGTAAGGAAAGGCAGGACATGTGGATATGCGGAACGGTTTGTGCAGTTCTTTGCCGGAAAAAAGGCGCCAATAGTTATAAAAAAAAAAAAAAACAAAGAATATAAGTTTGCTTTCTGATTACTGCCCTGCACGAGAATTACATTGAATCATAATTATTTGGATTATAAACACGCGTTCAAAGAAATGAATACATTGCCGCATCTGAATTCGTATTTTATCCATGAGAGCACCGGATAAATTGATGACCATCATGTGAACTCAACTGCTTCCAACTTCAAAAAGCCCCTCAAAGGTGAAAAAACCCGTAAGTTTATATTTTCGGTTACCATAACAACACTGCTATAGTCACACGTGCAACACGCAAAATTCCACGTTCACTACATAAGGTGAAGATATCGAGGGTTGGAGAAAAAAGGGAATCCTATTACATCACCAATTTCTTTAAAACAAAACACAGGTCTACCTTCATTGCATTAACAAATTTCTCACTCTTCATAAAAGCGTCTTCTATGATGCTGTCAAGCTGCTCTTTGAAATCCAGCAAATCTTGTACCATACTTTTATCTTTTTCAGGATCAAGAACAATGCTAGTTCCTTGTTTCTGTAAAGAAAAAAAAACGGGAAAAGAGTAAAGCAGGCTTTAAGCGAGTGTCAAAAATCCAAACCCAAAGTGACCACAACAGAGCAAAGCTTGTCATCATTATTAACCAATGAAAATTCAAAGTAAAAACAGGCGGCCTGCCGAAAGCGCGGGAAAACGCGGGTGACCGGGTCGTCATTGTTGGTTTCAATTTTAAATCTGATTGGTTGAGAAAGTGGGCGGAGTTTTTTGGAACAATCACAGAGAGAAGTACCGAAAAACAAAAGCAACCCTGAATTATATTCAACTTTCAATTGCACGTTGCTTTCTTTGAGTTATTTTGATAAGTAGGAGGCTGTTAGAGGTGATGCACAGGCAGCTCAAACTCTCGGCATGAAACGAACGTAAACAAGACCTCTGTTCACGAGAGTAACCCATATCAACCAAAGTAAATAGTGTCTTTATAAAGCGACAACACACGAGTTTAAAGGTAATATGAAATTCCTGCATCTCCTCTTTACCTTGATGTATTCATTGAAAGCATTGCACAATTCATCTTGTCCTCTTTTCACTCTGCTAAACAACTGATATAGTAAGGCTAGATCACCGAGCCTGTAACTTGCCATCAAGCTGTCAAAACCTAAAAGAAAAACACAC